AGTGGTTTGGGAACAAAATTAGAGAGGCAAGACTGAGATAGTTTGTAAATGTGCAAAGGAGGAATAGTGGATATATTTGAGAAAGGATGTTGAAGATGGAGCTGCCAGGCAGGACTAAAATAGGAAGACCACAGAGAGATTCATGGATGCAGTGAAGGAGGACACACAGAGGGTTGGTGTGACAGAGGTACCTAAATCATGAGCTCTCCGCCACCGTGCTCGACAGCTGGTATCAGGTGTTTGTGCTGATATATTGCGTTTGGAAAGACAATACCAAAGTGAAGGCGCTTGATCGTAATGCACACCGACACATTTGTAGAAAACTAAAGGATATGGTTGTGATGTTGATGTGATGTTGCAAAGCTAAGCTGCGCTGCCAAGTTCTTTTTATCGAGAAGACGCTTTCTGCTGCCAACCCTTCCTAACAAGCCAGACTTGTTCGGTCTTTTTCTAATTATGCTGTCATGAACTTCAACATTTAACATGCCTATTGAGGCTTGTTGAGTCTGGGCTATATTTGCTGATATGTCCGCTCCTGGGAAGATTGAAAGCTGTCTTGAATGTTTTCCACATGTGGATACATTTTCCCAGTGTAGAATGATGGACTTTAATTTTTTTGGAAATGGCCTTGTATCCCATTCCCAGACTGATGGGCAGCATGAATTGCTTTTTAAGATCACTGCCGATATCGTTCCTCCTTGGCATTGCATAACCCACAACTGACTGCTTCAGACCAATGAACTGACAAAACCTTTACTATTATAGATGTGGTGTTACTTGCTGAAGATCAGTTTGATCATGAACACCTGGCTGCTACTTTCCCTCTTAATTCTTGTGGAAACAGTACAGCTGTACTTAACTTTTCATGCCCTGCTTCTGCACTTGAACTTAGCTTTTGTTAAATCATGACTCGGTGTAATATGTCCGGCTTTGTACTTCGTCTGAGGTTGCTAAGGACCAGATTTGTATTTATTATGGCCTGATACATTAAAAAGTTGACAGGGGGTATACTTTCTTTTTCACCACGATCGCATGTCCTTTCAGGAGAATTATTAAAGCAAACAGAATGAATCTAACAATAGCTGGAGTGCCACAGCAAAATTCATATAAATTCAAAGGGGCTTTTAATGCACAGTTTCAAGTTTATTCCCAAAACGTCAAACTATTCAGTTAGACTTTGAATAATCTTAAAGCCACAGTCATTATACTGCAGGGTCAGTTAAGGTCCCTCGAACCAAAACCATCTAATCCTACAAATCCTTTAAACTTACCCTAATAACTGTAGAATGAAAACCTCTGCCACCGCACTGCAAAAATTCCTCGCTTTTTAAAAAGTGTACATTTTTCGTGACCACCTGCTGAAAATAGGAGAGCATTTTTCCTAATTATGACACATTTTCATTGCCTTGTGCAGTAAACGGTTGGAAGAAAAAGCCTTCCTCACACCTCTCCACTATTTCCACCTGCTCATCTACTGTCTTTGCTTCCCAGCTTGCTTTTGCTTCATGCTATTAAATGACAGCAGCTGGGCTAAGCTAAGTCAGATCCCTGCCAGAAGCCCACCAGGACCTCAGTGCCAAATAAAACATTTAGCTGGAGCTCCAGTGCCACTTGACAGCAGGCATAAAGGCATCTGGAGGTTAACGTTAGGTAACTGAGAAGATGATGGATCCTTCCTTCACCGCTTTAATAATTCCAGGCTAAATATCTGCATCTGTTTCCTTCTGTCTCTCTCTCTGTGTCTGTATGCCCCCCCTCCCCCTTTGCCATTTCACTCTCATCGTGCTTCTCTATCTCTGCTGCTTTCTCTCCGTCTCTCTCTCTCTCTCTCTCTCTCCCCTCCTGTCCTCCTCTCCTTCAATCTCTATTTCCCGCTTGCTCGGTCTCTGTGTCTCTTTATGAAGATGTATATTCAAGGATTTATTTCTTTTAATGCTGTGCCAAAAGTGGATCCTCTGCACAGGAGGAGGCTTTAAAGAGAGCGTCGTTGTGGGAGGGTGCGGGGCATTTAAATTAAGATTGCGGTAAAATATTTTGTGCATTGTGACAGCAAAAAGAATCAAAAGAAAGTGACGGTCTTTTGTAATCATGGCTGTAAGTCAAAATTTTGTGGGTTAGGGTTAAAAAACACAACACTCTTGGCTGCTTGCTACAGGGCACTGAATGTAACTCTTTCCATGCTATTGCACAGCTTGCCACTGACCATCTGTGTCTCTTAATTTGTACAGTAACGTTAAGGCTCTAGGTCAGAAGAATAATGACTTCCTCTGCCAAGAGAATTACAATGAAATAAAAAAAGGTGAATTTATTGAACCTTTCAGGATCAAAGTCACCACTGCCCTTCATTAGGAAAGTTATGCTTCTAGTATTGTGGCTCTGGTCAATAATACATGACTCCATATGGGTTTAAACAGAGAGAATTAATGAGCGTTTCATGCAAGGCAGATTACTGAGGTGCACACCAGCTTCTGCCAACAGCGTGTCTTCACGCTTTTGTTATTCTCTTGCTCCCTCTGCAGATAAATGAGAAAAATACACCTAAGAAGTTAAGCCTTGTTAATCACACTTTATCCTTATTTTTTTCTTTTTTTACACGAGAAACACTAGTTATTACTAACTGATACGATTACACATTGTTACATTGCTCTGTCGAAGGCGCAACCACACTTAACCGTGGCATCTTTGATCATATTAATTTTGCATGCCTTCTTTTTCCAAGCTTTATTTGGGTTATCTAGGCTCTCTAGGGCCCAGTGCAATATGCATGATTAGTCTGTTATGGTAAGAGGCAAGAGTTAAGCTCTTCAGCAGGACCCTCCCCTCCACACACACACACACACACACACACATTTCAGCATAAGTGGCATCAGAGCTCATCAACCAGTTATTGCACAAATCATTAAACCGCTAACTGTTCCAGAGAAAAAAAAAAGTTTGTGTGTGTTTTTTACAACAACACTGATATTTCAAAAATTAAATTTCAATTCTGCCTAATTTATTATGATAATATCATAATAAATTGTGTTGCTGTTCTTGTTATATGCTTTTTGCTTGCGGACTCTCCCACTCCTTCCATGCACACAATCATTAAAGTTACAGATAAATTTCACTGATCAAATTAATTATTTTATCCTGTATAGTAATTAGAGCAGCTTTCTTCATTGTCATCTTTTCTTCTCTTCAGGGGGTTACAACATAAATGATGTTATGTTCTACTGGACCAGAGGAAATGAGTCTGTCAGTGGTTTAGACAGTCTCCAGCTGGCTCAGTATACAGTAGAAGACCACTACACATCTGTCTCAGAGGCCATCTATGAAACTGGTAAGAATGATAACCAAAAACATTGTTTAATTCTTTAAAAAGCAGTGTTTTGTTACTAAAGACTATTGTGCATTACATCAATACATGTAAATGTACTAAAATTTAGTGCACTTATTGTCTTTCTTCTTACAGGCCATTATCCCAGGCTTGTCTTCCACTTTGAGCTGAAGAGGAGCATTCTGTACTTCATCCTGGAGACCTATGTCCCCTCTAGCCTGCTGGTGGTCCTCTCATGGGTTTCCTTTTGGATTTCCTTGTCTTCTGTTCCAGCACGTATTTGCATAGGTATGGGATAATCCATTTTTCTGTTCATTCAGTCGTCAGAATCAGAATTAGAACATTTCTTTTTGAGCAAATGTCATATATTTTTACACTGCAACTTAAGCATATGCGTTATTATTGCTGCTTTGTCCTGCTCTCTGTCAGTCATCATAGTAAACTTAAAGTGACTGAGATGCAATCAAAGTGTAGACTTTCATCTTTAGTTAAGAAGTTAAATGCACCATCTGCTGATGAATTACAGAAATATTTCTCATGGGCTCAGATGTAACCGGACAAAATAAAATGCTTATTTTTAACACTGTGTTGAGTATTGTTTTGTAATGGTTGCCAACTGATGGACTTCACCAGAGGATTCACAAAGGGATTTCTCCTTTGTGATAGTTTTGACTTTTGGAATTTTCAGCTTTTACTAAGTGAAGCTGAGATCAGGGACTTACTGGTAGGTAGTGTTGATTTTGAGTTTGTGATTTTAGATGATCATTTCTTGAAGTTGTATCTATTGGAAACATCTAAGCATGTACTTTTTCACAGTAAGTGAACCTGGACTGGTTTAGTCTCACCCGGACCTTACTTCCCCCCCCCAAGCCTTGCCTCCACCTGTAAAATGACTCTGTGAGTGTAGCTCCGTAATCCTCCACCTTAGGGTGCCTGCTCTGGAAAATGCCTGGTGTCCGGTTCCCTGGCTGCTCCCCCATCCGGCTAAAGAGACTTTTTCCTTTTGGACTCTGCTGCCGCACTCGTAGTGTGACTCTTGTGTTATGTTTTCATGTTTTGTGACTATTGCTGAGATAGTTCTAGCCTAGTTAGTGCTTTGTAGTTCTGCTTTTGTTCATA